TTCAGGGCGTTAGACGAAGAACATCTCTTCTTGGGAAAATCATATTGACCTACAATATCAGTAAGACATCTTATCTTTGACTTATTAGTGGCATGTATACTATAATGTTCTTGTTGCTCTGATAGACTAGTTTAAAATGGTTGGTAGTAGATATAAGTAGTATAAACGAATAGTATTTAATAATATTATATTTTAAAAGTTAATTAATGGCAATATTTTGGCAGTTCTATATATGTTACGAAACAACATCAAACTGTCTATTTGTTGCCTAAAATCATATTTAAATTGGATGATGAAATTTATTTTATGTTTTGAAGCGATTGATTAAATTGATTTTAATCAATAAATTGAAATTTTAAAATGGAACAAAATTTTACGGGTTTTCAAGTGTGAAATGTTATAAAAAGTCAGTGTGACATCTTTAACTCGTATTTAAGTATTAAAATGGGTTAACATTGTTACAGTTTTCTTCCCCAACCCCATCTTCTTGCACCGCACACCTCCCTCTTCTCTACATTCGTGACCATCGTAGACATAAACCCACGCCATCAACCACCGTTCATCAGTGATCACTACTCCAAACGTCATCTTTAGCAAATGAAGAAGTCTAAACCACTGTTAATCAGAGACAAAGAATTCCGAACACCACTTCTTCTTTTTTCCAATGGGTTAATCAAATTACCATTTTAAGATAATGATATACCATGCTTTGTCGTTATTTTCTACTGCTTTGTCATCGAACTTTAAAAGGTCATGGAAGAGTGAGTCAATAATAACATGATTATTGTTTTGTTGCAAGGCGAAACTAAGCCTTTTAAGCCTTACATATATCGTTATCTAGTTCTTTATCTAGCATAAAAAATTACTTCCTTTTGGTACTGGATCGAGAGAGCTTCAACATACATCATAGTCTTGTCTTCATACTCGGCCTATGGTATATATATATATATATATATATATATATATATATATATATCATAATTGTGGACTCCAATGGTATAACACTAGCAGAGATGCGTGTTGGATTCATCTGATAAATATATGCAATTTTTTGAACTTCTTCGTCTCCAGTTGATAGTGGTTTAGACTTCTTCGTTCGCTGAAGGTGGTGTTCGAAGTAGTTACCATTGATGAACAGTGGCTGACGACGTGGGTTTAGGTCTGTGAGGGTCACGACTGTAGAGAAGAGGGAGGCGTGTAGCGTAAGAAGATGGGGTTAGGGGAAGAAAACATATAAAAAGGGTAAATTAGATCATTGTCCCTAAATTACTTTAAATTTATAAAATGGTCCCTATTTAGTATTTTGTCTAAAATTCAGAGTAAACATTAAACTCTTTTATAAACGTGACATGTCATCAAACTAACGGAAGTCAATGTTTCAGTGACCACATCATAATTAAAAAAAAAGTTGCTACGAATTATGTTTTTCTGAATCGAGTGATCATATATTTATAAAATTAAAACAAAAGTGATCAACTATGTAGTTTACCAAATATAAATATTAAAAGTTAATTGAAAGAGCTAAAATGAAAAAGAATTGTTTAAAAGACTTGCAGATTAGAGTAGTCGGGAGGGGTGGCCATGGAGGGGTTTGAATCAGGGCTGTGGCTAGGTTGTCGGGGGCTCTGTACAAATTCTTATAAAGGGGCCCCTATTTTCTAGATATATTCGATTTCGAGGTAACAATAGTGGCGTTTTTTTGACAAACGCCGCAATAGGTCCATCTATAGTAGCGTTTTTTCAATAAAAGCCGCAACAATAATAACGTTTTTGAAAACGCCGCAATAGGTCTATCTATAGTGGTGTTTATTGGAAAAACGCTACTATAGATATATTTTTTTGAGGCCATATTTTTTGGGGACCCTACGTGGTCGCGCCTCCTGCACAGCCTCAGCCACGGCCCTGGTTTGAATACAATGATTATTTTGTGAGGGACTTTGGGGGAGATACATTTAGCGGGAAGTGAAGATGATGGGTTTAGCCTTTGATCTTTATGAAAAAGATTGTGCAGCATATCTGGCCTTCTCCTTTGGTGTCGCCCACCGTTTAAGAGGTTGATCAGGGACAATAATATAATTGTAAGAAACGTTTAAATTTATAATTTTATTCTTAAAAATATAAAAGTAAATATAATATGTTTATAATAATATAACTTCATTTCCAAATATGAAGATAAAATATCCTTTTAGGTACACCACGTCAATTGTAATTTTCAGAAAACACATTTAATGTGATCTATTTTTGACTTATCTGTTATTGAAAAGATGATGTATTAGATAATTAAATTAAAAAAAAAATTAAAAAGGAGAAAAGTAAAACAAATTTTGTTTAGAAAGAATAAGCATGCCTAATATGTGCCAAAGACACGTGTATGAATTTTTTATTTTTATTTCGTTCCTAAATGTTGATGTATATATTTTATCTTTAATCATTTTATGAATGTATATTAAAAATGATATATCTAAGTATTTAAAATTCAAATTCTAATCTTAATTCTACTTAGAAAGAAAGGAGGGAAAGAGAGATACTAAGAAAATGAATGAAAGTACTCATAGTAAATCTAGAATCATGATTTAAGGGAATATGAGATAATAAAGATGAACAACTTGACCAACCGACCAAATGTATTTATGTAATTTTTTCAACCTTTAAATGTATATCTTTAAGCATTCATTCATAGGATGATTAAAGATGAATTTTATCTACACGTGTTGTTATTATTTGACTTATTTCTTACTTATATTAATATATATTTTGGTTTAATCTATTTTTTATTTTTTTATTTTGGTAATTGTTATGTCTTGTTCAAAACTAAATAAAAATGTATTTCATCGTTTTTCTTTAAGTGATTGTATAATATAAGCGAAAACATATTCAATTAATCACATCCTTAAAATTTAAGTGTCGTGTGTATAAATCTATTGGCAGACATCATACTTCTCTTCTCTCTATTGTCCACTTATACGATATTATCACGTGAATCTATTCTCTTTCTTTTTAAAAGATAAGTGGTCTAAATTAAATTTATAATCTAAAATCTTAGTGGCTTTCTTTCTTCTCCTTTCTTTTCCCTTTTTTTCTTCTTTACTATTTGTGTCAATTTTATTGATTAATCTAACTTTTTATTCTTTAATTTTATTTAACCGATGGCGGAACCGATTTTAACACTGGTTGCCGCCCGTCGGTTGTCTTTTTTTTCTTTGTTTTTTAGTTTTTCAAATAAGAATAATTATGTCTTTGTGACAAGTTCTCTGTTTTTATGGCACGTTTATCTCTACCTTTGTGTCATATTTTTCTCTGCCTTCTGGTAGCTTACGATTTCTTGTCGTTGTTTACAATTTTTTTGTGTTGTTTTTGTTTATCTTTTTTCTCAGGGTTGAATTTGACATCACCACGACTGATCAAGATGGCGCTTATTTGTTATCACGATGATCTTCCCTGCTTTGGACCTTCGGATTGATTTGGATACGCGTTTTGCGTTCGTGGAAAATTTTCTCACATCGCTTGACTCTGATTTGCGATTTTCAATAGTATTTCAATAGCTTCATCCCTGTCGAAATGTTTTTTTTAAAAACCACAAATTTAATTTTTAATTAAAGAATGTGATTTTTAAAAATCTTGTCTCGAAAAATTTGGGCGTTTCATATTAAAAATCGAAATAAAAAATGGTTCGATGAGTCGCCACCAATATTTGATTAGGGTGTGATTGGGCACCAAAAATGGATGTCATTTAAATAAAATAATTTTAATTTTATTAAAACAACGTCTTAGTTCTACATACCAAAAAAATTGAGTTCGGGAGTCGATTACGCGTGGGGAAGGATTAGCACCCCCACAATGCCCTAAATTGATACCTAGTCGATTAGTTAATTGTCTTTGCAATGAAATTTACAAGTTCGAATTTAATTTAGTTAATGATCCCTTCGAATAAATTCCTTCGAATTTTAGAACGAAACATAATAATATTTGATTATTTCCCATGAGAAGAATCAACCTCTCATACCTTGAGGCAGTCAATTCCTACTCCAATCGAAAATATTACAGTTCCATTGTAATGTTCAAATGCATGAAATAAAATAAAGAAAATTAAATTAAAGAAAATACCAAACCCTTTTAGAAAGAATAAGGATATTCGATTACCTAAAGATGTCGATGAATTTAAATATACAAATATTTCATTTTCTTTCGTTCCTAAATTTTAAGTGCATTCAAGTTTTAGGGTTTTATTTGACGGGACACACCTTCATTTTAAAATTCTCATACGTTGAGACAATCACTCATCGACGAACTTAAAATGACGGGGTATTACCCTTAATCCAATTATTTGAGTTGTATCGAGTTGTGCTCACCGGTGTATCATGTCAGTTTTGAAAGGATAAATTACACCTAAACCTATGTGTACAAATAAACATGCTTATTTAAACACATAAAATTAAATAACATGCTATTTTATTTAGATTGGAATAAATAAAATTTAATGGCATGCGTAACCTAATTTAACAATAACATAAATTCCCAAACACGATACGTTATACTCAACCAACCAAAAGGAATTAAATATATATTTACATACATGAAAGGACATCATATAGTGACTAAAATAAAAAGGAATGAAATCTAAAATCAAAAACTAGGCAAACATCAAGTCACGAAGCATAAAAGTTTTGAATTTTAGGCACTAAAATTGTAATAAACCCATAACTACATGTGGGATTAAAATGCAACTTAATAAAATTACATGTCAAATACAAAATACAGATGAAAATTCAAAATAACTCAGCCCAGGGATGAAGCGCGAAAATAGGGAGATGAAATCGAAAATTCAAAAATCATAAAATATTACCAAAATGGAATAGAGCAAAAACCAGCGTGGCTTACACAGTAAATATCCCATTCCGAGGCACAAAATCGGGTATCCCTTACCCTATACGAAACGACGCCGTTTTGGCGTTTGAATAAATATGACATTTTGGACAAAGATCTAACCCTAGCCCATTTTGCTTCTTATTTTCCCTCACTTAGTTGTTTTCTCTCCTCCTAACTTCCCTTCTTTTCTTTTTCTCACCTTCTATTACTCCTCTCTCCAACTAAGGACAACCACCATGGCCACCACTACCTAACAACCCCAGTAAGGGGCCTAAAGATCCTAAACAGCCCACCTCTTTCCCCGTTTTGTGATTCGGATCTCAAAACCAAATTGAAGCCTGACTAAACACCTCTATCAAACCCAAAACAAACTTGAAAGGAATGTTACCTCCTGCGGCTCAATGGAGTTTAGATGTTAGGGGAAGACGATGATGTTTTTCGGACGGGAAAGGTAAGGTTTCTTTTCCTCGAGATCTCTCTTTCTTTTTCGTTGTTTGGTCGGTCGGTCATAAAATAAGGTTTTTAGTTTCTTGGGGTTTTTTTTACTGATGATTGATGATTCGATAGAAAAATATTGTTTTTCTTTTTTGTTTCTTTGATTCCCCCTTGGTTGATGATTGCTGATATTATATCTTCTTTGTTTTTCTTTGTTTTTCTGATTTTTCTCATCTGTTTGTTTACATGTGTCGGGGGAGCCTCTGCTACTGCCGTTGTTGTGGTAAATGAGACATGGCCAGGGCGGCACACGAGCCTGGTGCTTCAGGTACAATAGGGAACGATTGGGACGTACATGCGTATAAGCTTGGGCAAGAGCTAGAGCGACGAGCGTGCCCTCCAAATGCGAGATCTGACCGTCCGAGAAGATGGGGAGTCTTCAGTGTACGAGCTTGGGACTTTCAAAATGTTGTGGGCTGTTAGATCTTGGAACTAGATCCAACGACCAAAAATCGGCTGCGCATGGATCCTTAGGGCTTAGAAAACCCTAAACTTTGTACCATTTATTCTGAACCATTAGATAAAACCAAAATCTGACGTGTTACATTGTGCGGCAATGCCAGTAGATTGATCTTAGGGTTAGACTTAATTTTGCCCATCTCGACCGTTGGATACTTCTCCTATTTGAGGGCTAGCGTTCGGTGGTGTTGTAGGCTTGATACAGATAGGGTTTCCCAACCCTAATCTTCCGGGCTGTTATTCGGGCCATTGGCTGCTAATTGGCCTGTTTAGTAATTACTTTGGGCCTATAAATTAAACATTTAATTAGTGTTCTATTATATATATATATATATATTTACATTTACCATTAGTTATTTATTTATATACTTTATATAATAATATGTATAACATATAAACGCACATTAATAGTTAACTTATTTAATTAAACAATAATAATCGATAAATATAACTAATAGTAATATGGTAATTAATATTTCATACTTAATTGATAGTTGTAATATAACACTAAATATATAACTAATTATAATAATAATATATAAACCCAAACGAAGCTCGAATGGAATCACTAGATAAAATGACCATCTATAGTTGTCCCTCTTTGCTTATTGTCGTGCAAAGATCAAATGATGATCATATTTGTCTGGTTATGAGAAAATCTAAAGGTTAATTCACTCCACTCTAACTTCAAGGTAAGTTGGATTTGATCTGGTCCACACTTTCAGGTAATCAAATCTCAAAAAAAATTGATTCACTTCACTGTTCTTTAGGGAAGATTGAATCGAACTTGATTTGCTTCGCTTCTCTTCAGTAAAACCAAATCTGAAAGAAGAAGAATATGTTCTTCTACTCTTCTTCGCTCCTGTATCAATCTGTTCCATCATCTTTCAATGGAATGGTTTTCTTTTCTGAATCTGAACATCTTCACGCTTGGCTTACCCGATATCATAAGTGATGAACCTGCAAAGACACAATTTTAATTAATTAGCACATCTGAGGGTTTATTCCTATCATTTTTTTTTCTCTCATTTTTTTTTCTTATTCTTTTTTCTTTTTAATCAATTTTTTATTTTTTTGTTGTTTTATTTTTTATTTTAAATGAGAAACTTTGAAAATCGTTTCCTCATTCTCCTACAAATATTATATGAAAAAATCATGCTCGAAGGTCTTATAAATTGCCCGAAGGACTTATCATCTTGCTCGAAAGACTGACAGATGACCCGAAGGATTTAATCATCATAATTGAAAGGGAATAGTCTAATGGGAAAGAAAATTTGGAAATTGCTTTCTTACTTTTCAAAAATTTCATTTTCTGAAAACATTAAATGAGAAACTTTGAAAATTATTTTTCTCATTTTTCACAAACATCATATGAAAGCATCTTGACCAAAGGTCTTATAGATGGCCCGAAGGACTTATCATCTTGCTCGAAAGACTGACAAATGACCTGAAGGATTTAATCATCATGCTTGAAAGACTTACTGATGGCCCGAAAGGCTTACCAATTTTGGAAATAATTTACTAGGTAAGAAACTTTGGAAGTCGCTTTCTTACTTTTCAAAAATTTCATTTTCTGAAAACATTAAATGAGAAACTTTGAAAATCGCTTTCTCATTTTTCAAATTATATAAAACATTTTAATGGTCAGGTAACATGCCCCACTTCAAAGTAATGCTTCTTCTGTGAATCGGGCCCATATGTTCTTCATGTTCTGCCTCTCTAAACATGATTCTCTATATTTGAGGTTTGAATTCTAGCTTTCACTCGTTGGGATTTTAGCATCATGAATATTCTCTTTTCACTGGAAGATCTATAAAAACCATGCGTTTATGTGTGAAACGCAAAAACAATTAAATGTATCAATGTAATGCATTTTCTTTTATGCAAATGATGTTATCATGAATGCATAAATGTTGATTCAATTTTCCTTTGATTCCAAAGTGGAGAACTCAGTCTTCGTCTACTTGATCACTCTTTTCTAGGATTTACTCAGATATGAGTGTAGCAACTTATAATTTCAAGCTTGCATATTTGAAGAGCCATATTATCATCTTAGGTCTTTGTGTCTTCGTTTCCTCTTATCTGCATTAATGTCTCAAAAGAAATATTTCATTTCTTGAGTCTTGATGTGGTCAGAAATATGACCTTGATGCCCTTTTCTGTCCTTGACTCAATTGCGTTATTAGAGTTAATTTTCAAGGACTCTACGGTTAATTGATGCTCGACTAGTTCACTTTACAAGGTAAGCTATGCCTAAATTCATGGTCTTCCAATGGCACTCCAAGTTGTGAGGCTCATTCTATATTTTTTTTCGGTCTAAACCTTATTATCTCAACATGATCTGGGTCTTTGGTCATTCCCCAATGTGTGTACTTTCATGAATCATCCCTATTTGGGTGCCAAAATTTCATCCTTGACTGGCCTCACTCTTCTATCATTTATCAAAAATCACAAGCCCATCTTATTAAGGAAATTGCCTACTTCATGATCTGATGTTGATGATGTCACAACAAAGTATGAGAAATTTTGTTCTTGAGTCTTTTGATATTTCAAACTTCATTGCTTCGAAAGAAAATGAAGAATGTCTTCATTTCTCCTATGTTGTTTATTCTTCTTGTCTTGGCTCTTATTCTTTCTTCTCACTTATTCATTTGAGGGAGAACAAGTCTTATTATATTCAAGGACCTCCTTTTTCTCGAGAGATTGTCCTGTTTGAAAATGTTTTCCTCCTTTTTACTATTTTTAAGTTTTAAAAGAATGAAAGAATATTATAAAACAAAAGAATGCTCATTACTTTGGACTCATAATTGAAACAAATGATTAATTCAATGAATATTAGGTAAATCAAATATACATTTTTTTTCTTTTTCAAAAATACATATGGTATATATAACTCTTTGACAAGTGTTAAGATGAAGGGTTGGTTCTTTATTTTTATAAGGTTTCAATCCTTGAAATGTCCCTCCTTTCTCAGTCCTTGCAAACAATGTGACATGCCCCTCTATCTTGGCTTGGCATTTTAATCGGATGAAGATAAAATGATGCAACTTAACATAATCAATTACTAAACCTTTTAGAACACTTCTATTTCGATTCTATGAAATCTTCCATTTTTTCAAACTTCATAGATTCCTTTAGCATAGATAATGCAAGGACATCATTATAAAGATAATATTCATGTATGTCTGTGTGAAGTTGACTATAATAAATGTTTCTCAACTCCCTTAGTCTAGTTTCCACCGAAACTCATTATAATTCAAACCATAGGCAATATTGCCTTTATTCTTTGAAACTTATTTAGTTTAATTTGCCATTGTTCAGGCATAGTTGAAGGATTCATCTCGTCACAAAGTGATTGACTTGACAATCATAGTGGAGCAAACATTGAATTGCCAGGTATTTGATTAATATCATGGTTTGAATGCAATATATTCATAAAGCCAGGGCTTTTGATTTGCTTCTATAACCAATTACTTTAATAGAATAGCTTAGTTTTATTCATTTATTTTAGAATAATAATTCATTAACGTTTTAAGTACTCGGATTTAAAATTTATTAAGCTCATTGAGAAGAACTTATTATAGTCTAGGTGTCGAAGATGATCAAGAAATCCCATAATTAGAGTTTAGTTCCCAATCAACTAACCTAAACCAAATTTATCCACTCCATCATTTCATTTGTCAAGACTATGATCATCACTGAACTTCTTCAACAAAAGTGTAGCCTAATTGGTTTTGCAATGTCATACAGAGGAGATACCCCAAATTGCCTGCTCCTATACATACTTGAATGTCAAACATCTTGATTGCCTCTTCGTGAGTGGGGAAGAATATATTAGTACCTACAAGAGAAGGGTATGATGTTCGACTGTAACCTCTGAAGCATGATCATGGTTATGATTTCTCAGGGGTTCAATTTGATCTCTTGTTAAAATCTATGAACTTTGTATTGTATTCAATGAACTTTAAAAAGAAATTTGTCTCATTGTCCATAGTCTAAAAAAAGAGCAGTGTTCATTTAACTAAAAAACTTTAAAATAACCCAAAAACAAAGCAAGGTCGAAAAACAGATCCAAACAAAACATGTTGGTTTTAAAAAAGGTGTAATTGAGCTCCCTAGCGGGTGAATAACATCCTCATATGTTGATTCAAGAATGCCCCCTATTGTTCATCTAATGCAATGGCACTTGACTCAATCGGATGCTACATATTGTGCTTTAATGCCCCACTCGAGTTTGTCATCCACTGTTTTACCAATTATTGAGTCAACGTTCCATTTTCAACAAGTATTTCTATCTCTTTTAATAACGGCCTATAATTCCCCGTAAAATGTCCAGATGCCCCCAAGTGGAAATCACATGCACTATCTTGATCATAGCTGTGGGCATAAGGGTTTGGTGGTATTTTCATTGGCCTCAGTGTGAGGTATTAACCTTTAATCAAATATGGGTATAGATCTGAGATAGAAGTTTGGAACACGTTCAAAGTACTTCTTGATCGTGAGACATTTTTTGGTCGGTTTGAATTACTAGCTGCTCCTTTTATTTTGTGGCTGTGGGGGCTCTTGACGTGACATTCATTCACCTCGTCAGCTTTTGTTTATTGATCAGTTGGGCTTTTGGAAGTGACTTTCAAGTTTCATTTGTTGATTACATTTTCAATTAATTCCTCATCTATCACAAGTCCTTGAAGTCCTTTGTTGAGTTTTCCAGCATTAACTCGAAGAAATGAGCTGAAAGACAATTATGAAACATGTATAATATTCTTCTTCTAACATGGGAGGTTGAACTTGTCCTGCCACTCCTCTACATCTTAGGGCATATTCTTTAAAGCTTTTAGTAGCTTGCATCCTTATTTTTTAAAGATCTTGACATCTTGGGGCTAAGCCTTTAACATATTGATATTGCCCCAGAAAGGCATTAGCTAGATCAACCAACATTTTGATCTGCTCTCTGTTCAAACAGTTATACCATACTACAGCTGGCCCAACAAGACTATCATGGAAGTAATGAATCAATAGATTATCATCATTTAAATACCCTTCTATCTTTCTGCAAAACATTTTCAGATGAATTAGGGGACAACTGGTGCCATCATATTTCTTAAAATTAGGGACCAGTTTGAGTTCTCTCACTTCTAGTTATTTGTGAGAGGCATTAACACTTTTTATAACTCTAATTGTTTCCTTCAACCGCTTGAATTTATCTTCAAATTGCTTATGATTAATGAGGGTCTTCCCTTATTTGAGTGGGATGCTCCAGGGTAGGTTGTCATTCTCGACGTATTAGTTTGATAACACTGATATCCTTTATCAACCA